ATATTAATGCTGATAATCATGCTGTATGTACGTACATATGTTACGTTTACATCCTAGATTAAACAACAAATTATAACATTTATTGGAGTACCATTGAGCGTACACTGTTTTGTGCAGCAAATAAATAAATAAATTGTTTAAATAGGAATGGTTTTCATTTCACAAGATATCGTGCGAGATTACAACTGGAATTTGCATGTTTGTTTGCCTTAGAGTGTCCCAGTTTTGTGAAAGAAGTGAGAAAAAGAATGGCGCTCCAAATCAACAAGAACGGTTGCCTGAAGGCAGTACTGAATTAGATGTGTGTTTCAACGCGTATAAGAAAGAAACGACGGCAGCTTTTAACCATGACATTATAATTACATAGGCGTATTATTTGTAAATAGTACAGAGTAATAAAAAACTGACCTCAAAATTGCATGAAATTACACCTATTTGCCAAGTTTGATAGAAATCGGTTACCGGAAATTGTGCGAAACCGGATTATTCCCCTAGTTTGACACCCTTAGAGCTGGAATATTTTCTTCAAATTGAAATGGGGCCACTATGAGGGACTCTTTCCAACAAAAAAGAATCATCAAAATCAGTTCACAAATGGAGTTCATAACATACATACAAGAAATAACAATTTTTTTTATAATATCAAGTGACGGGACGAACAAGTCGTACACCAGCACCCTTACCCTTCAAAACCGGAACGCAGTACTGCTCACATTACGGCTTGCTGGCAGAAATAGGTAAGGTGGCAGTACTTCCCTGGACGAACTCTTTCACAAGGAGCTCTACTGCTTCTATTTAATGTATACAATAATACAGTCGAATTAAGCACTTCCTCTTTTTTCGAAGTCGGTTAAAAATACTATTTAGCGGAGACTGGTGTGTGGTCTGCTTGTAACAACATTGTTACCTTCGTAATTTCGCACCCTTAGTGTAATAAGGGTACATTTACAAAATGGCAACTTTTCGGGAGAGAGTTTTAAAGAGTGTACGAACGAAATTAGTCATAGCTTTTTTATGTTTTTTTTATTCGGAACAAGAACAGCTACGAATAATGATTTATAACGAATATTCTTAGGTACAGCTAGTTAGCCTTAATTACAGTTGTCTCGTTCTCATTTTCAAATATCTAAATGATGGTAAATTAAACTAACTAAAAGAAAAAAGTAAACACAAAAGTACCTATTTCATGAAGCACAGCAAAAAGAGTAAAGCGATGTGAAGTGTGCAATCCTGACTTACAAAAAAGTGCATTAAAATAAATATAAATAAATACAAAACAAGAAAAATAAACAAATTCTTGTAAATATAATTTACATTTCTAAGTTTCAATGTTATTAATTTGGTATCAAAGGCAAAGACGTTTTTATAAAACAAAAGCATTTTTATATACTTATTAATATAATCATGAAACTTTTATAAACAAGTGTTTCTTTTAAAAAACAGAGTAAATTTCTTAACGCATTTCATCCTTTCGTTCAGAAAGATTCAACTCTTTTTTTTTCGAAACACAGTGCAAACTACACAAATCCTTTTAACAACTTCACAGTAATCTCCGCGCTTTCAGCAAAGTACTGCAGCGGGTATTTAATTCTACTCTAAGTCCCGAAGGCGTGATATCACCATAGAATTACCCATAAAGCGAGTAAGTAGTAGTAGGACAACTGTGGTTGTTCTTAGAGCCAAACTAATTTTGCGTATTTATCATCCTGTTGAAATTAAGCCTTATCTGTGGTGTTATAAAATACCTGTACGTTCTATGCAGCTCACTAAAGGTTTGGGTCACGGAATGCCGAGCCTTTTTTATTATTGTGGTAATATTATAAAATGTAATTATTACATATCGAGATCTTAGGTTTGTACACGATTTTTGTGATTTGGATATAACGTACACACAGAGACAACCACAAATTACACCCAAACTCTGAGGTAAATAAATATAGGCCATAAAAAATTTCTCCAAACCCGGGAATCGAGTGCCTTTGCGTGGTAAGCAGTAATATATAGATTATTATAATAGATATACAGGGTTAAAAATAATTGTTTATTTTAGTCCCTAGACCATAGTAGAAAAAAACAATTCGTAATTTTATAACGTCATATAACTTTTAGAAAAAAACTAAAATAGTATAATAAAACCAAATAATTGAAAAGTCACACATAATGTAAATATAATGCATAAAATAAGAAATTTATATAAATAGGTTTGTGCAGTTATGCTCTACCTTACCAATTTGGAGCCAGCGTTTGTACATCGACGCGACGTGGCAGTCAGGCGAACAAACAACTCTCTAAAAACGGATTGAACCATCTAAAATTGCATTAGTATTTTCTGCTTTAGGTTCCAAACCTGTAAAGAGCCGGAAAGTAAGGTTTGTTTGAAAACGTACGTGGTTTTAAATCCGAAAAAAGTCTTTTTATCATCAATGTAATTAGGCCATCGTTATCCTTACTATCATATTTTGAAATCATGCAAGATCTCAGGATCTTACAATCTGTTTATGTTTTCCGAAAATTACAATTTAGGGTTTCTCAAGGCTAACGTAAATAGGCATTTTTTACGATGATAACTATCATCAGCGGCTACATAGTCGCTTAACATCAGGTGAGATTGTAACCAAGCATTTGTCTATTTTATAAAATTAATATCTTAATTTATTAAATTAATAAACCCTTTCGATTTATCAAATACATTCGCAATATAAAACATACATTCTTAATTTATCAAATACGTTATTAATTAACCGATTTAAAAAAAGAGGAAGAGGTTCTCAATTCGGCTATATTTTTTTTGTATGTATGTTACGCGCTCTCGGTATTTGTGAACCGATTGCGAAGATTCTTTTTTTTTGTTGGAAAGAGGGTACGTCAGTATTGGTGCCATTTAAATTTGAAGAGAATATTCCACCTCAGAGGGTTGAATCCAGTTTTGCGCTCTTTCCGGTAACCGATTTCAATAAAACTTGGCAAATGGATGTAATTCCACGAACTTTTCAGGTCGGTTTTTGATATAAAAAGTTACAATTGCGTTACATAATTTATCTTAGTTACTTTTTTAATATATTTATATGCTCGTATACGAGTAGTATTTATTTATTAATAAGTTTTGTGTTTAGAGGTATTGTATCACATATTAAATCATAAAACGTGTTTGTACTGTGATGTAATTCTTTCACGGAACAAATTTTTTTCGTTCTTTTTATTTAATAATAACATTTTTTTGCTTGTGTTGCATAAGAATTAAATGATAAACTGTGTCGAGCCAGTTGAAAAATTACGTTCAATTCAATTGAGTGTAATTTTTCAAGCGACGCTTCTGCGAATGAAACAGAACAGAAAATTCCATTGTTTTGTAGCGAAAGTACCATTTATCGCTCACGTCCAGTCGCAGGCATACATTTGTGAACTATGGATTTATTCTACCGCAATCCTGTGATAATATAGCGAGTTTGCCAGAGGACTATGGTATTTAGGAACAACATGAAATGAGCTTTTCATATCACATGAATTGATTCGAGGCTTGGTTTTACTATATGTTTGAAAAATTCTTTTTTTTATGTGACAAAATGGGCTTCATATGTACAGGAATTTCCAATAGGGAAAATTCATGCACTAGCGAGATTACGTGGTTTAGGTCAAATTTGCCGAAACTTTTTGACATAATTACACTATCTCATTAATGACGCGTGTTACGGTATTCGTTAGATCTCCAGCAGTTTATGGTTTCTTCTCATATAGTTATGAAGTGGCGTTAAACACATGAATCTTGAGATAAATAACCTGTTGAGTTTCTCTTTCAATAAATCGACTGTACTCTGGTGGTATGACAGGTGATGTTGTCTTGTTGAAGCCATTTGTCAAGCAGATCAATTTCTTTCATTTTTGTCTTGAAATAATCCGAATTATACGCTGGTAACGATCACCATTCAAAATTATAGCAACCTCCGCCTCATTCTCTAGAAAATAAGAACCAATTATGCGCTCTTATCCCAAAATGCAAACCAAACAGTCAGAATGTAGCTGTTGAAATAAAGTTGCTGTGAAACCCAATCTGCAAAATTTCCCGCTGGGAATGATCACCTTCAGTTGTATGTATCATTGTATTTTGTAAGAATGTAGATCCGTCTTGTTTGCCAAATTCCTCTAATTCAAGTCTGAGAAAGGAACACTTTTTCAAAACGTAGTTGAATTGAAAAGTTCGTGGTTTTGCTCACACTTTCAGTCACCAATTCAATATTTATGGAGATGCCATTGCTCAATAATGGGCTCAAATTGTATTCACTGTTTTTTTATGATACCAAGTGAATTCTGCACCAATAAATGTACTTGCATGACTGCCATCAGCAGGCAGATTCCTTATCACTATCGACAAAAGTATTTATTTATTTGCATGCACAATTTAAAAGTTGAACACAATGGATGTGTTTTACAAAATTAATAAAAAACAACGAATCTGAACTAGCTTTACATTTAAATGTGTAAATGCTCATTAAAAGTATTTTAAAATATCTAAATTACAACACATGAATATGAAAATAAAGCATTATACATAAATTTTATTAGATTACTATGTCAAGCCAATGATTTGCAAATTATGAAACACTCAACCGTACCTTTTTTTTAATTACTGAGATACTAACCAAGGTCTAACCCCCGTGTTTGAAATAACAAATAATTCGTACCCTTTTATAATACACTTTCCTTTTCAGGTGGCTTTCAGGTTAAATTTCCTTCAATATTCTATTTGCCGTATTTGACGCTAGTACCAATTTAAGGTTAATTAAATTAAATTAATAAAACCTTGTTAATAAGATAAGAGGTAAATGAAATTTGCCTGAATTCAACCATATTACATTTTTCTTTTCTTAATATTTTTAGTTGGCATTTACTCTCAGGTTGGAAAGTAATTGAAAAGTTCTGAATTATAAAACAACAGTTATTACCTACTTCCAATTATACTTTTTTCTGTGTGCATTTTATTAACTTGTATTGCTTTTGCGCAGGATGCTGGGCGGCGTGGGAGGGCGGCATGCGTCGGTGCGTCGGCGCGGCAGTTCGCCGGGCGTGCGGCGTGTCGTGGCAGCTGTCGGAGATGGCTCTCCCCCGGCCTCGCCGATGCCACCCCGACGCCGCCGCGCCGCGCTTGCCGCGTCGGATCATAAGACCTGCGCTCTCATACACACTCGCCTCAAGCTGGGGGACATCATGTAAGTTCATGATATAGTACTGACGGAGCGTGCGTTGACAAGATGATCATTTTGTGTGAGTTGAAAAGTGAACAACCGAGCGCGGCCACTACTTGTGAACTCGCCGCATGACATTTAAAATTCGTTTTAACCTAGCCCATCTTTTACTTTCTAACCAATTGCTGTGAAAAACGGATAAACGAATTAATTGCAATAAATTGATGTTATTATTTCGGTCGAAATAATAACGAATTGATGACGAACAGCGAATATGCCAATTATCAATTCACGAACGATTCCTATTTAATTCCTGACTGAATCAGCGATAAGGGTGTTTTCTTCAACATTTCCCTTACGGTTACATTCCGATACACACAACGGTGTGTTAATAATTTGTGCACACTAAAATTATCGTGCCTTAATTTGTTTATGGTTTTTCTTACAATTGTCCATTATAATTTATTATTTACAAGAAAGGAAAGGAATCTTTGTATCTTATAATTGATAATTCAAAAGTTCCATAACTCATAAAAAAAATAAAGATGGGATGTCGATTTTAATTTAAATTTATGCCAGAAAAGATGGCCGTACTTGGATTTCGTGTCGTTGGTTTGAATTTTTTCAAAACAATAAAATCACAGTGGAACGATTACGTATTTACATAAAACGTTTAATATAATTTTCTCTATGGTACAAATTGTACCATATAAATGAGTATTTAGAACAATTACAAATTACAAAAATTCTCATAAAGAGTTAATTACATGGTACAACAAAAACGCCACATAAAATATATGCAAATAAACATATGTAGAGATGAATAGTATTCATTAGTATTCAATCTATCTGTTTTGATTTATTAGTACTTAATATGTAGTGTATTTATTTGAAATGTGTAAGTACTTGTATAAGTAGACGTTCTTTGAATGTACGACCTTAGCATCTCAAAAATATCTATTCACAGTTTGCCTGGAAATATTGCTATTTAGCAATAACACCACTTGTTGTACATTCGCTTATTTTGTTATAAGTAAATTATAGTTTTGTGTTTTCATTGGAATTTTAACGTGCAATAAAAAATATTTCGTTATTTGAACAAATAATACATACATAGGTCGATCTGTGATATAGGTAGATACTTAAAACCAGTTTACTGCCATAGATATGAAATTCATATCTATGTTTACGACGCTGTATTTCTGTTAGTACTACTTGGTGTGCGATCGCACCTTACCAAAGTGCGTCATATGCATATATAAAAACTCAATTGTTCATACGAAATTTTGACGATACGATATTGAAAAAAATTTTTTTTATGAAATCTATTTTTCCAGATTTACATCTCGTGTATTTGTTTTTCAAACAAACCAACGTTTCGGGTCCTTTACAGGTTCCATGGTCACGGTTGACTGAAATTTAATTTCCTATGTGTAACTATCGCGAAAACCTAAGAACTCGATATATATATTATTGTCAATAAAAATATGTATATCCAAAATTAACTTAATAATAATGCACACATTCGTAGCCTCGCACTAGGGAAACTCTGTATCGTGGGTGCTATAAAAACATTAAATTTATTCCCACTAGATCCATGCATGGAACTTTTGGGTTTCAATTGTCCCTTGTGGAACTGAGTACATGAAACTACTGGAAATAAACCCTATGGACACCCACATAGACAACAACATTTTAAGCCTAAACTCATGAGAGAAATAAATGTAAGCCATACAAATATTTCTCCCTTCCCAGAAATCGAATTCGAGACCTCTGCGTGTCAGACCAGTTATTAGGTCTGTCACGTCAGAGGCAGTTTAAATTAATAATATAATGTAATAATAATCATACACCTAAAAATACCTCGTCGTTAATTTAGATATCTGGAACAGGCATCAGACTTTAAAATTAGTAAAATAAGTGCGACTAGCGATACAAGTCTGTTCAGTTAGGTCATTTTGTGTTTAATGTCACGCAATGATGAAGGATTGTGACATGACGGGACGAACAAGTCGTGCGCCTGGTGGGACACGCTTACTAATAACAGTTGCAGTGCCACTCAGAGCTTATAAATCGTAAAGGTCTTAGGGTCACTGTCACTGCGCTCGTCACCTTGAGACATAAGTTGACAAGTTCCATGTGCCTATAATTTCGCCAGCACCCTTACCGTGCCAAACCGGAACACAGTAAGTCTCACATTACTGCTTGGCGGCAGAAGTATGTAGGGTGGCAGTACTTCCCTGGATGAACTCTTTCTGCGCTCTACTATTGAGCTCTACTGCTTCTAAAAGCTTCCTGGCAGCTCTTGCAGGCACGATACCTTAAAACCTTAAAGACCCTCGACAGTAAAGTTACTAAACTTGAGTGATTTTTGGTCAACTATCAAAGTACATTTTAAAAAATGCTTACTTGTTTGTCTAAAATATGACAAAATTTGCATTTGTTTTTGAGAGCGTGAAATATTGTTTTTTTTCTCTTTATTCATTTTTAGGCTTTGTTCAATATTGAACATGTCATCCCTTTTAGAAAAACAATACATCAAAATACACTCAATATAATCCAAACAGCTGAATCAAAATATTACTCAACCAAACCTATATAAAACTTTCTTATCTCGACTATAAAACGCCACCTATTTCTTTTTGCAAGAACCAAGTGTACTTACTGAGGGCGTGCTGAACCTTTCAGTATATCAACACAGCGCCATCATCCTGCAGCGGAAAATTTTGAGACTACTTTGCCTTGTAGCCCTCTAACGGTTGTTTTCTGAATTCAACCTGTGTATTGTTTGACAGCTTACGAATCCTCTGCAGTGAAATTTACAAGATAACTCTATAGATGGCGTTACAAGGCTCACTTGTTATCGTATACGAAAATAACAAGTCGATGGGGTAAGGCCTAGCGTTTAGCTTATTTTATCTAATTGTTCGCCATAATTCATGTTCAATGGCGTAGACCAATTTACGAGCTTAATAAATGGCTGTAACCAAGTTGGGATTTAATTTTAAAACATCTGCGGAGGCAAATGACAAGTTATCTTCAAATAGTGTTTTCTTGCTAAGATTTCGGCAACGTTCAAAAATTCAGAAAAGGTATTTCTTGCGAATGTTTTCTGAATTCGCTGTTGCAAAACAAAGGTCAACTTGGTGACTTAGAAACTGGCGGAATGATTCATTCGGTTTGATCATTCGAGCTTCGGTTCCGAATCCAATCTCCATCCGCTATTGGTGTCTGGTAGATACTAGCTGAAACAGGGAGCAAGATGTTCAAATTCAATTTCCGAATAATGGGAGGTAGTCAGAGTCGTCCGCTGGCGACGTTTGGCTAGTGTAAATGGAACGGGCCTCGCTTCCTGCCTCCACGTGGCGAGATGCCATTATTGATTTCCGGCGCCAGAACGGGACAGCGCTCTACCACAATTTGTTGCACTATTTTCCGTCTTTCTCGTCCGCCAATATATGACCTATTTTTATGCCGCTTTCCCTATATTAATACAGCCTAAGTAATTAGGTGAAAAGTTCGGTGGGCGGCGTAATCTAGACGGTAGTTGGTTTGGTTTGCTTGTGAAAATCTCTGTTTGGATAAAATCGCGCTACGTAAACATTACGAGATATGATAACAAAGTTAATGAGAGATTAGCGTTTTATTATAATATTTTACGTTTATGTTTATGTTTATTTTCTGATCTTCTATTTTCAAAATAATTTGAATTCGACATCAATACTCATACACTCGACATATGATTTAAATTCCGAATGCATTTATACATGGTTAAGCCAAGATAGCTACGACAATTAAAAATAAATTAAATTTATTTTAATTTTTTTTAACGTGACATATTCAACTAAGACATGTAATCATCATAAATCCCATTTATGCGTCACTGTTGGGTACGAGTCTCCGAGAAAAGAGTTTTACACGTTTTCCGAGATTTATAAACCTTCGTCGACGTGCAAGTTTCATCATGAAAACAAAAAAAATGTAATATAGACTAAAAACAATCAAATTTGCGGAATAACCATTCAGCATAATATTTAAAATACGAACAATTTTCGGCTATCACAAACATGGTGTGGCAACTAGGTAGTTAGCGGGGTACAATTAATCACAGGATTAACGTTGGGCAAAGCAGTAAAGTCGCGTGTAAACATCTGCAGTAGCCGCGAGGACCGCTCGTATGGCTGCATTAACACTTTGCTAATTACTGCAGCTTTGTTATAACTAATTTAATACCTTCACTTGTTTTATGTTCTTATTTGGCCTGGTCTACGCTTGTACCGTATATTTAGATAGTCATTTTCATATTAAGGTAATTTTTGGTTAGTTTTCTCCATGTTTTCTTTGTCTAAGGTTGGTGGCAATTTTTATTATTTAAATATTCTAGAATATTATTTAATATTCGAGTGTAGTATTTTTTTTATAATAACTTTATGTGTGTATTTCATATATACATATATACAGATAGTTATTTCATATACTACGAAATCTTTTTTTATGATACCAAATGACGGGACAAACAAGTCAGAGCGATACGCCAGTCCATAGCAGTTGTCGTACCACTCAGAGCTTTAAATCACAAAGATCTGGGGGCACCGCTGCAGCGCCCACCCTGAGACATAAGTTGACAAGTCCCATGTGCCTGTAATTTCACTAGCACCAAAACCGGAACGCAATAATGCTCACACTACTGCTTGGCGGCAGAAATAGGTAAGGTGACAGTACTTCCCTGGACGAACTCTTTCACGAGGAGCTCTACTGCTACAGAATACTTAAATATAAAAATTGTTAGATAGACAACACTAATCTGAAAATTACCCATTAACCTGAACGTGGTTCCCTTTGTGCCAAGAACATGTTCTGAAGCGTGTACTATAACTTGAAAACATCTTATAATTTTATTACCAATGTTAGGAAGGATGCTGTTGATGTAACTACCTTATGGCGTTTTATAACAAATACAACTTTAAACCATTGTTTAGAAACATAATAAGAGAGTTATAAGTTACTATATACGTATGTAACTT